GGTCACCGCCAGCCCCAGCTGCCAGGGTGGGGGGGCCATCCACGGGTCAGCGCCTGGGGAGAGAAGGGAGAGTTACACACTCAGCAACCCGCCGATGGGCCGCAGTCTGCCCCACGCCGCTCCCAAGTTGCCCAGCAGCCAGACCCACCGAACTGCAGGGCTCCCCGTATGCACTGGGGTGGGTCACCGCAACCCTAGGGGTTCCCAGAATGCACTGGGGCGGGTCATGCCAAGTCTAGGGGTTCCCAGAATGCTCTGGGGTGGGTCATGCCAAGCCTAGGGGTTCCCAGAATGCATTGGGGCGGGTCATGCCAAGCCTACGGGTTCCCAGAATGCATTGGGGCGGGTCATGCCAAGCCTACGGGTTCCCAGAATGCATTGGGGCGGGTCATGCCAAGCCTACGGGTTCCCAGAATGCATTGGGGCGGGTCATGCCAAGCCTACGGGTTCCCAGAATGCATTGGGGCGGGTCATGCCAAGCCTACGGGTTCCCAGAATGCATTGGGGCGGGTCATGCCAAGCCTACGGGTTCCCAGAATGCATTGGGGCGGGTCATGCCAACTCAGGGAGCTCCCAGAATGCTCTGGGGTGGGCTAAGGCAATGCCAAGGAGCTCCCAGAATGCACTGGGGTGGGTCATGCCAAGCCTAGGGGTTACCAGAATTCATTGGGGTGGGTCATGCCAAGCCTAGGGGTTCCCAGAATGCATTGGGCCGGGTCATGCCAACTCCGGGTGCTCCCAGAATGCTCTGGGGTGGGTTAAGGCAATGCCAAGGAGCTCCCAGAATGCACTGGGGTGGGTCATGCCAAGTCCAGGGGTTCCCAGAATGCCTCTCCCCCAGCTGCCACACCTTATAGAGAGGGGCGGGGCCTGATTAAGGGGTGTGGCCGAAAGAAAGGGCGGGGCAGAAGGCGGAGCTCGATCCCGCGCATGCGCAGAGCGAAGGAGCGACGCCAAGCGGCGCGGGCCATGTCATTCGGTTCGCGCCCGGAGAGGAGTTAGGGCGGGGATCGGCGCACGCGCGGTACGGACCTTGGGGGAGTTTTTTTCGCGCCGATCGGGTTGCTTTTTCTTCTTCCCCTCCCCCCACCTCAACGCTCTCAGGATTCTCCGCCGCGGCCTTCCTTGTAGGGTGCGCGCGCAGCCGCTCCTGTCATGTGACGGGGCGAGCCAATGGAGTACTGCGCCGCGCGGCCACCCGGGAAGTGTAGTCCTGGGCTTTTGCGAGAACGGGGCCAGCCGGCGCGTGGAGACTCCACTTCCCGTCGGGGCCCCCGCC